TACCTGTCCAAAGCTTCTCCAACAGAGGAACAACAAAAAAAGTCAACAGTTGTTGCTAAGCTCTCCCCACTCTGTAACCATGAGGACCAGAATCATGCAGGGGTTATTTTAAAATAAAAGTTTCTCAGGAAGCCTATTTTCTGCACCAGATTCCAAGCTGTTAAGCACAGAAAGATGCTAGATCAACGATCCGACAGCAAGATCAACCTCACACACTTTGTTCTTCAGTTTTTCCAGCAAACTGATAATGTCCAAATGAGAAGCATTTTATGCATCAGCTTCTCTCAATTATCCTGAACGATTATTGCTGTTGGCAGACTTAGGAAGCTTTAGATCACATATATACACAGTTGTAGAATACGTAAATAGGATGACTAACAGATCTAGGAACATTCAATCCCCTGAATCTTTAATAACATAAATAAATGCAAACAAGAGCTAATTTTAACTGAGTAATGTCCTGCCGCTTCAAACAAAACTGGAAAATGTGTCGTAGCTATTATTTTTTCCAAATACAACTCTAATAGAAGCCATCACACTTTCTAATGTATATAAAGTGTTCATTTCTACAGGGCTGGAATGAATAAGATAGCCCTGTATTACTCATTACCTATAGCCAGTGCTCCCCCCACACTTTTTAACAACAATAAAAAAGGTGCCGGTACTGCATAACCTTGAGTACCCCCTGGAAAAAAGCACTGCCTATATGCATGTTATGCATGGCATTCTACCAGAGACTGCCAGAACCCCAGACTTCCTGGGGGGTCTGGCCTGCAAAGGAAGAAATAGAAGAAACTAGATTTCTAGTATGTGGCAGGCCCTCAACTACCCACCATGTCTCCTGGAGGGAATTCCAAATATCAGTTTTTGGTAGCCCTTTCACGCATCACGCTTGGAAATATCTAAGTTCAGCCAGTGTAGGAAGATGCTTACAGGTCAGACTCCTTATCCATCAAGGAACCATCTTCCCCTACCTCTTGTAGGAAAACTTCACAGGTGGGTGGGGCCACCCGCCTGTCAATCACCTGATGCGACTGGGCCTTCAAAGCACCTGGCATGACTTGCAAAGGGATGGTGTTTTGAAGTGTGACTGATGGGCAGGGACTTCAAGTCTGCTACATCTCTACAAGCTCCACACATGTCACATATCACATGTCACATAGGGGCACGACAGGTTGGTATAGTTTGGGGGGGGGGGAGCATCCCGAGCCAAACTAGGACCCCTGCCAGACCAAAATTGGCTGATGGGATGGAGGGTCCCCACTCCTACTCTAGGTCCATATTGTCTATTCTGGCTGGCAGCAACTATTCCTTGGAATACTGCACTTTTTTAACACCTACTAAAAACATTTTTCGAGAGGAAAGCCTACCCAGGCATATAATTTTATTATTTATATCTGGGGTTTTTAAACTGTTGGTTTTATCTGTATTTTTATATTTTATAATGTATACTGTTTTTAAAGTCTGTTTAATTAATATGTTCATGCTAATTCATAAAAACCTCTTAGAGATATTATTATTATTAAGCAGTACATAAATGTTGCTTTAAAAATAATATAATCCAAGCACTGGTTAACTATGGGTTAGTTTCAGCTAAGGTGAGGCAAATTCTGAGAAAGAGAGAGAGACAGAGAGAGAAAGGGAGAGCGATTCCCAACGTTAGCCCTACTCACAGTAGATCAATTGAAATTAATAGGCATGACTTAGGCCCACTAATTCCCATGGGTCGACTGTTGGATAGAACTCCAAGCCTCCAGTGTGTCCTCTCTTGACAGCAATCTACTTTTTTTAAATTAAAAAGTCCCAAAAGTCTTATCCTCCCCTAAAGTGGAATGTTATCCGAGCCTTTTCTGATCCTGCCTGCTATGCAGGGAAGCAAAGATTTGCACACAGCCAGCCAAGACCAAGTTCTGAGTCTCACAGGCTTCCACAAAGCTGGCTGTTTCTTTGTTCCACCCAGAAGTGCTGGTTATTCGGTCCCCGCAATGGCCTCAATTCTGGCTGGACCTTGATTCCCTTTCCCCTCTCTCTTCCAGCAACTCCTGGGCTAGCTAAGCCTAGAGCCACAACTTTGTAGCGTGGCCAGGGAAAACCTTAGAGGGAATAAGTTCCATTTTAAAAAAGCAAATGTTAGAGAGCCATCAAGTGGTAGAAAACAAGTACAGAACCAGCTGCATGCAATTTTGCAAAGCAATGAAACACTAAAGACCTTCCTGCTTTATCACCAATCAACACGATTTCAAAAAAAAGTATTTTGGTTAACGATATTTCACGACTATCAAACCTCTAATACACAAAGAGAAGTATACACACAATATTCTTAAGGCAACATATATGTAACATTTTTTCTATTCTGCTTTTCTTTGTGAATTCAAGCTGGCTAACAATTTCAAGTTTGATCACAGTATCTGGATTACAAATGACAAAATTTAAAATCACAGAAGCAGAATAAAGCTTCATCTATAAACAAGAGGAGTAGAGTGGGCCACTTGTTCATCACCAAAAAAAGAGGACATATTTATGTGTACACTTGCAACTTTAGAAATAATTACCGTAAATAAAACAGAAACACAATGCATCTCACCATAGTGGGGAAGACTATGACCAAGTGGTCTGTGTTCCTGTGCTGTCTGCTGTCCAAGTGCTGCGAATTGTTGATGGTAAAGTTCAAGACCCATCAAAGAGGACTGCCCTCTGATAACCTTTCAGATGCAAGGACTGTCCTCTATAAAGTAGGACACATGGCCACCCTAGCAATTGCTTTTCCTTCTGTGCAGATTGCTGCTCTCTCTTCTGTTGGGTCTTTCTCTTCAAATTGGACTTGGATAGGACAACCCTTCAAATACCATTTGTTTTCAAAAGGCATTTGTGTTGTATTATGTAAAGCTGAGAGAGGGTTTGGCAGCTCCTAACTTAAAACTATGTTATTACTAGCAGCCTTGTACCTGGCGTTGCTTGGGAATTCTAAGAACCCCCCTACCCACCCCCCAAAAAAACCCATTCTTTTTTAAAACAGTGGCTAAAATCTGTGTAGTTTTGAAAGGTTCTGTTTGCCATTCTTGATTCAAAATGGCATCCATTGATTAAGAAACATTACACACTGCATTATGAGGGGAAGAAGATCTTTTTCTAATCTAATTAAGACAATGGGATTGACATTGAGTATTATAAAGTACACCACTATCACCATGCTAGCTCAAAAATTAGAATCTGGAAAGAAAATAATATGTTTAGATATAAAGATGTTGTGCAGGACAATATTTTAACATTTGTTGTCATGACGAAAAGTAATAATAATGCATCCCCTCCTTTGATATGAACACTTTCAAGTTAGAGCAGTGATAACAGGTATCAAAACTGTTCTAAGCTCATCTCACCAGGCTACATTTCTCCAGTTATAATAAATAAAATAAAAAATAATTAGTCAGAGTTCTGTCGGCAATGTGAAAGAAAAGAAGGCAGGTTCCCTCATATCTGTAGGCAATATCCAATATCCAAAAGCCAAAAAACAACCACCCCTAACCTATTGGAAAATGATTAGTAAAATTATGAAGAAGATAATGGGATATGTTACTCTTTTCAGTGTTCTTATTTATGATATTATTTAGATGGGTTTGTCAGAGGTGAATATAGAGAGTTGGCTGCTTATATGATAATGCAGCCAGAATTGTATATGCAAAAATAAGTAAACAGAAGTCACAAACACTACCTTTGATAAAGGACGGGCCTGATAAATTATGGGACTGTGCTTTGATGACAAAATTAACATATTAAGATTGAAACATGTTGTTAACTAAAACAAACAAGCAAACAATCAAGATTTAAAGAGAACAAAAAACAAATTTATGACTCTTTGAAATAGAGGACTGCCCTCCATAAAATAGGACAAATGTTACCTTTCTTTTTAGAAAAGTATTGGAATGGTTAGGGTATTTGCAATCTGTTGCAGTAGTCAGAGAAAGGGGTCACCCATGAAGCATGAATGCCCTCAAATGCCTTCCATAGAGCTCACAGAGTTCCCTTCCTTCTGCTCAAATTAGGCTTGAAAGAACCATTCTATTGTAGCCAGTAATATAGATTGTGGCGAGTTCTTAGTATGTGGCAAGCTGCCTGTTCTGCAAACCAGCTGAGCAAGAAAAATGTGGATTTCAGAAGATTTTAAACTGCACCGACTACCATTAAGATTCTATCTGCTTAGCTACAAACACACTAGGCTAGCTTCATGTGAGACAATCTCTGAACACATCTGACATCTTAACAGACAGATAATCAGCAGGTGCCCATTTTTTAATTTCCGACATTATTATGCATGAATGGCCTTTCTGCATGCTCTGAGCAATGCAACAGGACAAGCCATGTGTTGTAATGATACCAGATATTCAGAAAAGTGAGGCGGGGGAGGTATCTTAAAAGGAAAGAGGAATAAAACTTAGGAAACTGTTAATGCCAGCAATCCCATCAAAATATGCAATAAAGAGATTTATACAATATGTAAGCCTGCCAAATGGCAGCGAGATCACACAGGTGTTCCAAACAGGCAATATTTAGATCCAGAAAACTATGAAAATATAATTCAAATTTTAAAATAAATTATCTGGGCTGAAACTTTAGAGAACAAAATCAGTTAGGTTATTCAGCTATTTAAAAAAGACACCCACTGATTAAAAAAGTAGAATGCTGAGAATTGTGGTAGAATGCTCAGATGCTGAGGGAATTTAAGAGAGTTGCAGTCCAACTTCTGTGAGGGAAGAAAAAGCTAGAAGTCTGGGTGGTGGTAAAAACCTGCACAAGAACAAGCTGAGGACAGGGATGAGGTTCAACAATGTAGGGAAGCTTTGGAACAGGGAGCAATGGGTAAGGAGGCTCAGTGCTACTTTCTCGTAAGAAATCTCACAGTACAGGTGCCCCTATAAGCCATACAAAGGGCCCTGTAGGCCGTCTAATGAAACCAGAAGGCAGGAAAGATCTCATTATTGTATGGATTCTCATGACGCTCTTACCTCGTATACAGTTCCATTGGCACAGTGAAGCACTCCGTGACCTTGTCTCTGGTCCAGGATCCAGTCTCCTTCAAATTCATCCCCATTTCTAAAAACAAATAAGAAGGTGAAAATTCTCAGGTTGCTTGTACAACCATTGAGAATTCAAGAAATAAATACTTACTCCAAGATGACCAAGAGAGAAAAAGTAGCTGGCTCAGAAATGCTGCTGGGTAAGTTTGAAATTTAACGGGTAATTTATTTATTTATATCCTTCGCATCTACTAAAAGTATCCATAGCAGCATGCATCATAATAATGATGGAAGGCACTCTATGCCACTGAGGCAACTTGAGCCTCAGGCGACAATAATGAATCCAGAGTACCTCCACACTATTTTAATTACAGGTGCTTATAACTTAATGTTTGTTTCACCGTTTTTTTATAGTTGTAAACTGCTAAGAAGCCTATTTCTGGCATTAAATGGTATATAAAATAAAATTTTGATTGGGCACTCCCACTGCTATTTTCCTTAATGGTGCACCATAACCACTTACGCAAAATTGACATCACAAATGGTTTTGTTTATGCTTCTGCATCCTCCTTGGGCTGTCTGCCAGCTGGTACTATTGTTGCCTACTCTGCTTGACTTTGCTTCAGGTATGAATGAATCCCTGACACAGTCCATGATATGATTTGTTGGTGCTGCTTTTTGAATTGACACTCCGAAAGCACCCCCGGGTGCAAGTAGATAAATAGGGACCGCTTACTAGCGGGAAGGTAAACGGTGTTTCCGTGTGCGGCTCTGGCTTGCCAGAGCAGCGATGTCACGCTGGCCACGTGACCCGGAAGTGTCTCCGGACAGCGCTGGCCCCCGGCCTCTAGAGTGAGATGGGCGCACAACCCTAGAGTCTGTCAAGACTGGCCCGTACGGGCAGGGGTACCTTTACCTTTACCTTTTAGTTTCAAGCTAAACCTGAAAACAACATCCAGTTAAGAAGAACAGAATAAGGGGGGGGGGACTTACTTGAAGATCATTTTCCCTCCTCCATGTTTTTTGTTGCTATGGAAGCTTCCTTGATATATTTGTCCATCCTTGTCAATCAGTAACCCGTGGCCTGAAAAGAGGAGGAAAATGGGAGCAAAAAATGGAAGAAGACTTCCATCTACCAACCAAGAGCAAACCCAGAAATGTGCTCCCTAATCTCAATGTTTCTTTGTCATGTCCAAAGCAGAGCCCTCACCTCTTCCCATTCCACCCCAAGACCAAATACATAAGCTCATGACTTGGGGATAGAGCTTCTAGCCATAATAATGTTTCTCCCTCCACCATTGGGATAATATGCCTCTGAATACCAATTGCTGAGAATCACAGGTGGAGAGAACTGTCATAGTTCTAGTTTCTGGGCTTTACTTTGGGGCACCTGGTTGGCCACTGTAAGAAAAGGATGCTGAACTAGATGGGCTACTGGTCTGGTCCAGAAGAGGTCTTCTTATGTTCCTATTGCATATCTGAACATGGCGAGTGGAGGGATATTTTCAAGTTCCGCACCTGATTGTGCAAGTAAGTGTGGAGGATAGGAAACACAAGTCCCTGGTGCGTCCTGTCACCCACAAGGCATTGCACAATGTTCAAAGTGACTCCCAACTTCACTCAAATGCACTTCCAATCAGTCCCTTGAATCAAAAGGTGTTTCTGTGCAAACAGAAAGCACTTCCACTCATGCAAACCCACCCTGTCCAGATTTTCTATCCAATGCACTGCAGTCCTGCAAAGGGTGCTTCTGAAAGCTGCAGAACCCTCCAGAACAGTACGGGATGTGACCTGAGGGATATAGCCAAAAATCTGAGGGGGGTGGTGGTGGTGCTTGCATGAGTGGAAGTACTTTGAACTAATGCAAAAGCACATTAGAATATAAACCAGTGCTTCTGATTAAATGGAGCCTTAATCTAAATCCCAAGACTCTAGGCTGGCACAATATCTTTTTGGGCCTGAAGCAGGGAATTCAAATGCTACCCCTTACAGCCCACCAGTTAACATGAATTCACACGGGGCAAAAATTCACTAGGAAATGTATATGTGCAAGAGCAGCTCTTATCCTTTCAGCGGGAATTGCATCAGAAAATGTACAGGTGCATTTGATCTAACACAGGGATGAGGGACCTTTTACCCTCCAGATGCTTTTGGGCTCCACCTCCTGCTGGCCCCACCCAGCATGGTCCATAGTCAGGGATGATAGGAGCTACAGTCCAGCAACACCTGGAAGGTCACAGGTTACCTATCCTTGGCCCTGTGTCAACTTTTTAAAATCGCATGTAAATAAACTCACAATATGGAGTTGGATGTGTGTGTGCTGCTAAGCCCTGCCCTCTCTGGTATGTCACTCTGCAGACCTTTTACAAGTGTAAGAGCAAACGTGTGAAGCAGGGAGTCTCCTCTTTTTACTGAGGTCCCCACACAATTCACAACCTTTCAGACCTCTGCCCTCAAATTTGCAGAGGGCCGGAATATCAATGAGCTGGAGAAGGTAGGATTTGGAAGTACCACTGCTCTCCTTCATTTAGGACATATATTTTACCTATTCCTTATAAGTGGTGGTATCATTTTGGAAACAGTAAGGACTCAGTTACATTAGTAAAGAAACAGCAATTTGAATGCGCTATAAATATGCAACACCAGATGGTGCCAGAGAGCAGGAATTTTTAAAACGCCATTTTCCATAGGGATTTTTTTCTTTTGTTGTAATGATCTGATTTCTGACTTATTTATAGAGTCCCGTCCGCCCCCCCCCACCTGCCGTGCTTAGATCCACCCTAAGTTATTTTCTCCAAACTAAAATGGAATGTCAGTACACTATAGTTACTGTGCAGGAAGGATCGTAGCTCAATGGTTCAGCACCTGCTTTGCATGCAGAAGGTCCTAGGTTCAATCCCTGCATCTCCAGGTAAGGCTGGGAAACCACCATGTCCAGAGAGCTGCTCCCAGTGTGGACAATACTGAACTAGTCAGACAGCAGCAGCTTCCTATGTCTTAAGGTGCTGGCTGAATATTAGAACGTTTGTTTTGCATGGGGAAGGTCCCAGGTTCAATTATTGGCATCTCCAGGTAGGGCTGAGAGAGACTCCTGTGGAGAGCCACCGCCAGCCAATGTAGACCATGTGTGGGGAGACTTTGGGTCTCCAGATATTGCTGAACTACAATGTCCATCATACCTGGCCACTAATCATGCTAGTTGGGGTTAATGGGAACTGTAGGTCAACAATATCTGGAGGGCCAAATGTTCCCCACATCTAGTATACACAGTACTGAGTTAAGATGGGTCAGTGGTATGATTCTATATAAGGCAGCTCTCTATGTACTTGCATACAAATAAAAAGAACACTTGGGTGGAGATAAAGAAATCTGCTTATCTCCCACTATGCTATTTTTAATGATGTTCCAAATATGCAACCTGGTGTGTGTAAGAGGGGAACTTTCCTAGTTCCATGGCCTCAACCCAGTCTTTCAGCTTACCTTCTCGCATTCCATAGGAGAACTCCCCTTCATATTTTCCACCATCTGCATAGCGAATGACTCCATGCCCGTGCAGCTCTCCAAAGAGGAACTGGCCAGAATAAGTATTCCCTTGAATCAAATATATGATAAAGTAAAACACAGGGAGGAAATTGCTCTGGCAAATGCGACTTAATAATCCTTGGTGTTCCAATAAAGATTTTGACCGTTCTGTTCTTGATACAAGACATTACAAGTGAATAATTACCAACCGCTTTTTATTACCAGGGCAGCTTAATCAAGAACAAAGGAAGTGTTCATTGGGTCTTTATCTTACAAACTAATGGAATCGTAATCCGTATTCCTTTAGGTCTTTAACACCAAGGTATCTTAAAATGACATTAGTGCCATATTTAAAAAAAAGAAAATAAAAGATTCCTAGTATGTTCTTTATGGTTAAGGGATGGGTAAGAAGTACTTTAATTTCATAGTCAACTTAACAGCTTTTTGATGGCAGACAGTCATTCAAACCATTCATTAAAGAGAGCCGGAATGAAGTAGCACTATGAATGCAATTAGTGCCATGGTCCTAAGTCCCCTTGGACTAAGTGAGACTTACTTCAGAGTAAACCTGCTCAGGCCTTGCATGCTTGAGCCAGTGCATACCTTATCAGCTTTCTATAAACAAAAGCATTTCAAAACAAGAATAAATGAAATCTGAAACTAAAACTGAAATTGATAAAGGGTGGTTGAATAAGCAGAATTTGCATTGAAACTATGGATGGTGGAAGAAGCAGCCACCTGCAATTTTGCAAGAAATGTGCATGCAGTTACATGTTTACACACAGGCAGCACATTAATCTCTACACAGAAGCACCTGCCTCCATGAATTTTGCAATATGTGAAGCATGTGAAATAAGCAGGCTGCAATGAAGAAAAAACGACACCCCCCCCCCGTATTTATACCTATACACAGGCATAAGAGGATGTTTAGATTGCAGGCAATAAGCTTTGGTGACAAGGAAGAATGAAGTAACCTGAAGCCTAATTCAATAAAAGAGTCCACTGGCAAGAGATTCTAATGAGACCATATTAAAACAAACAAAATCTTAGAAAAGGGCTGTAGCTCAGGGGTAGAGCATCTCCCTTCCATGGAGAAGGTCCCAGGTTCAATCCCTGGCACATCAAGTTAATAGGATTTCAGAGAGGAGGAGATGTGAAAGACAAAATACGTAGATTAAAAAAGCAACAGAACAAAAATTTCTGAAAGAAGCCATCCAACAAGATGAATGACAATAAAAAGATGAATAAAAAAGATGAATGTTATCCAGCCGCCCTGGAAGGTGGATGTTACAATTATGTAGCTGGGAGTGAGTGGATGGAAGTAGTTTTATACCCAGCAGGACAATTGCCTGCTCTGGTTTAAAATAGGGCCCCTCTCAGGAGAGAGATGGGAGAGGAATATTAGATGGTCTAGTGAGTGTTGCATCATGAGTCCATTAGTGCTTCAGAGATGGGAAGAGTAGGGCACATTTGTATGCTTGGCAGTAACCTTCTGTATGTGAGTTACAATAGTGAAGAGTATGAGCAGTTGCTTGATAGATATAATGTATAATATACGCTGCCTTGCAATGCTCTCTGACTTTATTTATGTTGCTATTATGTTTAGGCATATGGAGATTGTTCATGTATGGTTTTTTGTTTTGTTTTTTATATAAATCATTTGACATGGGTTTTTATTGCACTTATTTGTGTGTACATAAATATTTATATATTCTTATCTACTGTAAACTGCTTCAGATAGTAAAAAGACTACAAATGGAAATAATAAACAAACAAGCAAACAAACAGATCATGAGAAGCAAAAACAGGCCATAAATCATAGAAGTGACCTGTCTAACTTTCTTAAGCAGCTAAGCAGAAGAGCTTATTTATTACATTTATATCCCAGCCTTTTCTCCAAGGAGTACATGTTCACCCCTCAGTTAACCCCTATAATGACCCTGTGAGGTAGGTAAAGAGGCTGTGACTGGTCCATGATCACCCAGTGAGATTCATGACCGAGTGGGGATTTGAACCATGATCTTCCAAGTCCTAGTCTGACACTCAAATCAGTACACCACACTGGCTTCCTGGAGCACTTCTGCAATGGGACAGCTATATAAATTAAGTAGGTAAATAAAAAATGGGGAAAGCAAAATGTTGCTTAGAGAAGAATCTGAAATATTTTCCTTGAAGCTTGAATTTGTTTTATTCTGGATTGTTTTATTTGATGTTTTGTAAACTGCTTTGAGATTTTTGTTTTAAAATATAAAGTGGTATAGAAATAAAATGAACAAAAACAAAGTTCATTGATTAAAAATGAATGCCTAGACATAACAGTAATACCTCCGCGAATGTCCGCCTTGTCTAGCGTCCATTCCGGCGAACATCTGCGGCAAACCCGGAAGTACCGGAATGGGTTACTTCCGGGTTTGCCGCTTGCGCAGGAGCACTAAATCACACTTTGCGCATGCGCAGATGCGGCACTTTGCCCTTCATCCTTTTTGGCTAGCAGCTGGGGCTCCGGAACGGCTCCCGGCCACAAAATGAGGTAAGACTGTATGTTATGGCGACCATAACCCATGTTTAAGGTGACATTTGGCAATTAGCTTATATAACTGAGTTTCTAACATCGATACCATGGTACAATCTAGATTAAAAACCCAAAGCCTGAGCAAAGAGGAATGTCTTAGACAGGCACCTAAGAGCTGACAATGTTAGCATCAAGCGTGTTTTCCTAGGGAAAGCATAATTGTCCCATACTCTCGCCCCCACATTCTTTTGGACTTGATGGCAATCCTCTTTTCCTAGCCTCGTGGGTTGTTAGTTTTCTAAGCCCTCACTTAAGCCACTGCCGTTTACCTAAGGCCTTCTTCTGCTTACCTTGTCTTTTGCTCTCTAGGACCTGGGGAGTTCAGCCAGAGGCCATTAGGATGAAAGCATCTCAGTCAATGACAAAGCATCAACATTTAAATACAGAACTGCTTCGCCAATCCCTGAATGTACTACAATGTACAGAGAACGTACCACAAAAAACCCACCTGTAGATGCCCAGTATCTGAGTCCATTGCCCTTAATTTCTCCATCTACGAACTCGCCTTCATAATAACTTCCATCTTTAAACAGCAGTTTCCCGTGACCTGGAAAAAAACAACAAAAACCTGAAAGGTCTCAGCAACAACCAGAAACTGCCTGTTTTGAGGAATTCAGTGGATTGGAGAGAGGGGGAAATAGGTAAGATAATCAAAATTGACAAGGAGACAGGCAGTACAATACTGCACATATCTAACTTTTTAAAAAATGGATAGGGATGGAGCTGATTATTTGGAGAGCAAGCAAAGGAGAGCCAGCCAGAGCAGCAGCTTTTAAAAGCAGCAACTTTGAACAACTTTACTATCAATCTCTTGATACCCTATGACAAGAGAAGTAATTCTTAAGCTTTAACTCTCTCTCAACTATTTAGCCCTTGTTGCTGGGCTGCAGCTCAATGCAACGTGGCAAGGGGGAGATGGTCATACAGCTGCAGTGCCTCTGGCAGGTGGCGCACTGGTGGTGAGTGCCCCGCTGGTGGTGGTGTGACAGAGCAGGGTGGCACTTCCTGTTTTGCCTCAAGTGGCAAAATGGGTTGTACCACCCCTGATCTCAGGATTCCAGAACTTACAGCTGTCAGTTTTGAGGGAAGGCAGCCAAAGACCCACAGCCTAGGTGGGGCTCGCTAGCTCGGGGAGGAGCTAGCTACCTGGAGTAGGTGACGGTCACATGCCTCATCAAGTGTCCTGGCCAGGACACACTGAATGGGAGCATTCCAAACCACAACATTTTGTTGCAGGTCCCACTTTGTGCTACTTAATAACACCTCTTGCAAGCTAGAATGATACTAACCTCACAATGGCAGAGGACAAAGTTTGTTTCCCTTACCGTGTTTTCTCCCTTGCTTCCACTCTCCTTCATACTGGAAGAAAGAATTAGGGTAAACGTAAACTCCATAACCTGAAAGGAAGAAATGCAGAAGTATAAGATGTCCAAAAATAGCAGAAGCAATTGAAATGAGGATCTTAAATACTTAAAATAAAAACAAAGCAACCCACTTTCAATATATACAATAATAAAAATTGTCATAAGTTTCCTCTATGCACTGAAGAAAAATTCATACAGTTTTGAGACTCATTTAAAGATTATTTGCTGTTCTTTGCCCTTAGCAACTGGCATTCAGACACTGATCCTACACATGGAGAGTCTAGTTAAGCTGCCATGGCTAATAATCATAGACATGATTTCCTCTAATTCTTTTTTAGAAGTAACTAAGTGACCATTTGTGACAGCAAAGGATGTAAGTTAGGTAGTTACAGGAGTGGATATGAAAATTATTTTTGCCAATCCTGAACCTGCTCAATGGATCTAGTTTTTTAAAAGGCTCTTTGTCTTAGAAGATAATAAATAAGGGTTTGTATACAGAATGTCTCAGGTTCAATCCCCAGCATCTCCAGCTAACAGAATTTCAGGAGACAGGTAATGAGAAAACCCTCTCTCTGCCTGAGATGCCGGAGAGCGGCTGCCAGTAAGAGTAGATCGTATTGAGCTAGATCAAGGTGACTATTTCAGGCTGAAGGTCACTTGGTCACCCCTCTGGGGGCTGCATGGCAAGAACTACAATTCTCAAGGCTGCTTTCCAAAATACATTCCCAGCAGCTGTTCTACAGTATTTTAAAACTTTTGCAACTTACACACATTTAATGTGTGCAGTCAGCTTTACACGTATGGGCATCCAGGAAAAAAGACTTTGGCAATCCCACCCACCATTGAACCCAGTATATTTTGACTATACGCGATTTTGGCTTCATACACCATCCCCTGAATCTAGATTCAGGTAGGTAGCTGTGTTGGTCTGACGCAGTCAAAATAAATAAATAAAATGTTCAGTAGCACCTTAGAGACCAACTAAGTATGTTCTGGGTATAAGCTTTCGTGTGCATGGTATCTGAAGAAGTGTGCATGCACACGAAAGCTTATACCTGGAACATACTTAGCTGGTCTCTAAGGCACTACTGAGCAATTTTTTTATTTATCCCGTGAATGTAACTCTCAAGTATGTTGAAATCACCTTCATTACTATTTAATTCAGTAAAATATATTATTTTAAATGGGGAAATGTAGGGGCAGCTTAAAGGGCCACAAAAAATCTTCTGGCATCAAAGTTTCATAGCAGGGAACCTAGTCTAAGCTGTGTTTGACTGACTTTGGAGCAAGATTTTCATCATTTACACTCTAGTCACTGCCCCACTGCACATCACTGTCCACAGCTCCATGGAAGCTGGGGCTCTTAGTTGTTTTACTGATGTATAGTTTTGAGATGTTTATTTCAGTTACACAACTTAAATGTATAACTGTTATTCTCATAGGCAGTAGTATAGTTTGGTTTTGAATGTGTAATCTGTACTGCATTTCATTAATTGATTCTTTTTTCGATGACATTTGTAAATCACTTAGGGCTTCCTGTTGAAATATGAAGCAGTATAAAAACTTAAGTAAATCAATAAAACTAGCCAGGTTGTTCTCCCTCTAACTGTGAGGCCCATAGTTTCCAAGCTGACTGCCAAGGCCAGGGCATGCTGACCCCCTAGTACAAGGCCAAGCACATCAGCTGGAGCAGAGTGCTGTTTGGGGCAGGAAGGAACAGAAACAAGCTCCCTATAGTTTCTCTTTATCTGGCCTTATAAACAAAATAATAAACAACAACTTTATGAGAAAATGTAATTATTACATTTACAGTGGTACCTCGGGTTACATACGTTTCAGGTTACAGACTCCGCTAATGCAGAAATAGTACCTCGGGTTAAGAACTTTGCTTCAGGATGAGAACAGAAATCGTGCTCCGTGCTCTTTAGGTCCATTAGCTAAAGTGGTGCTTCAGGTTAAGAACGGACCTCCGGAACGAACTAAGTACTTAACCCGAGGTACCACTGTACATTACCAAGGGGCTCAAGGTGGCATATATCAACCTCTCTGTCCACAACGACCCTGTGAGGTAGGCTTAGGCTGAGGGACTGACTTGACTCACTCAAGGCTACCCAGTGAACTTCCTAGCAGCTGAGTAGGGATTGGAACCCTGCTCTCCCATGTCCTAATCTGTGTGTGTGTGTGTGTGTGCGCACGCGTGTGTGTTTGTGTGTAAAAGTAGCAAATAATAATAATATTATAATAATTTATTATTTATACCCTGCCCATCTGGCTGAGTTTCCCCAGCCACTCTGGGTGGCTTCCAATCAAGTGTTAAAAACAATACAGCATTAAATATTAAAAACTTCCCTAAATGTGGGTGATAACTTTCTCTATGTGGCTCTTGTCACCTGATAGACTGCTTCTGTCCATGGAGGTTCTATTTATTAGTGACAGCGCATGACTGTTCCAAAAAAACAGGCAATGCCCCCCCCCCCGCAATATTTCTTCTCATTTAAATCCATCACGTTAACAGTCCTCCTGGGGCAAGCTATCTATTCCTCCCGACGCCGCTCACCGTCCCGACGCAGCGCTTTCACCTCCCCACAGTAAGATCCAGGCCTGGAGGCCGCCATGTTTCCATCTCCCTCGAGGACGCTACACCTTAGTAACAGATCCCTATCTCTGATTGGCTGTCCGGTTGTTAGGGGGAGGGGGATTCCTCTTCCTGGCCGGCGGGGAGTGCGCGTTTGCTCGATGCGCGCGCGTTAAAGTGTAATGTGGGGTGGAGATCGTGTTCCCTGCTCAACCTGAATCTCCTGCTTGAGCTCAGTGCGAGGCTTTGGGAGCCGCACGTGCTTACCTGAGGGAAAGTCCCGTTGAATGCAATAGTGGGGGCTTGTTTCCGAGCACCGGATAGGCCTGTAAAATGCATTTCCTGCGCAAAATAGACCTGTCCGTCTTTATAGCCATTCCGGTTTTAACCTGCAACGCTGCAAACAATTATGCTGCAATTCTAACCCTGGCAAAATCTTAAAAGGGAGTTCCAGATGTTGATGACTAGCAGGTTTATTATGGGGGAAACTTAGTTAACTCGGGTCCCTAAGTCCTGCAATCGTATGCACGTTTTCGGAGATCAAGTCTTGTTGAATTTAATTAGACTTATTAGTAAACATGTTTTGGATCACATCTTTAACAGGGTAGGGAGGTGACCCACTTGGTGTTGGTTGCAACTTAGCCACTTAATATTTTGTGACATCTAAATAACACCACCACCCTCAGGTCAGAGTGTGATGTTGCAATGTGGATCAACATCTAATGATTTTTACTTATAAGAACAAAAATAAACAACTATCAATCTCAGTCAGGACATGACCTCCTTGTAGGTCTCGACCCAGCTATAGAAGGTTGGTGTTGCAAGGTATTTTGGGGTTGATCAACGTGTAATCATTACCACACTGACAGGTTGCACCGCCGGTCTAATGCCGTGTTTTACAAACAAGGAGTTATGAGAGGTCTCTACCCTGAGGGAATTATGATGGTGATCAGGCTTGTCGTCACAACAACCCCGTGAGCAGTTTTTCAAGCCATACCAAATATATGAAGTGGAGAAGAAGAGCAGAGCCACTGATTCACTTCAACAACTGTGTTTACACTGACCTTCAGGGCTACATTGAGTACGGAGTTGAGGTTTGTGCCTGTTAGCACTAGTAACAGATTGGTTATTTCTCGAGTCGGGGTTGTGTAGCACCATTCATGGTACAATTATATAGCTGAGAATTAGTAGTACAGTATATAGTTTTTTATATCATCCCTCCCCACAGGGTGACAGCTTTCTCTGGTGCAGAGCTGGACCCCTCCCAGGTGAGAGAGAGGAAAGGAGCAACTGGGTGGCCTGATGGGTATGGGGACATAAAGCCATTAGTGTTTCAGAAATGGGGAGAGTTACAGTGGTGCTGTGGGTTAAACCAGAGCCTAGGACTTGCTGATCAGAAGGTTGGCGGTTCGAATCCCCGTGATGGGGTGAGCTCCCATTGCTGGGTCCCTGCTCCTGCCAACCTAGCAGTTCGAAAGCACATCAAAGTGCAAGTAGATAAATAGGTACTGTTCCGGCGGAAAGGTAAACAGCGTTTCTGTGCGCTGCTCTGGTTCGCCAGAAGCGACTTAGTCATGCTGGCCATATGACCCGGAAGCTGTACGCCAGCTCCCTCGGCCAATAAAGCGAGATGAGTGCCGCAACCCGAGTCGTCCGTGACTGGACTTAATGGTCAGGGGTCCCTTTACCTTTATGGAAGACAGAAGTGCCTGGCGTGCTCTGGTCCATGGGGTCACGAAGAATCAGACACGACTAAACAACAACAACAAAGGTAGCCATATTGGTCTGCTGTAGTTGAAACAAAATTTAAAAAATCCTTCCAGTAGCACCTTAGAGATCAACTAAATTTGTTATTGGTATGAGCTTTCGTGTGCATGCACACTTCTTCAGATACCAGAAACTATCTGAAGAAGTGTGCATGCATACAAAAGCTCATACCAATAACAAACTTAGTTGGTCTCTAAAGTGCTACTGGAAGTTTTTTAAATTTGTTTCGAGAAATGGGGAGAGTCTCTCATCTGTGTTTGCTTGGCAGTGATCTTACAGTGGTACCTCTGGTTACGTACTTGATTCGTTCCAGAGGTCTGTTCTTAACCTGAAGCACCACTTTAGCTAATGGGGCCTCCTGCCGCCGCTGCACCGCGATTTCTGTTCTCATCCTGAAGCAAAGTTCTTAACCCGAGGTACTATTTCTTGTAGGGGACGTGGGTGGCGCTGTGGGTAAATCCTCAGCGCCTAGGGCTTGCCGATCGCATGGTCGGCTGTTCGAATCCCCGCGGCGGGGTGAGCTCCCGTCTGCGGTCCCAGCTCCTGCCCACCTAGCAGTTCGAAAGCACCCCTAAAGTGCAAGTAGATAAATAGGTACCCCTTTCTAGCGGGAAGGTAAACGCCGTTTCCGTGTGCTGCGCTGGTGCTGGCTCGCCAGAGCAGCTTCGTCACGCTGGCCACGTGACCCAGAAGTGTCTCCGGACAGCGCTGGCCCCCGGCCTCTTAAGTGAGATGGGCGCACAACCCTAGAGTCGGACACGACTGGCCTGTACGGGCAGGGGTACCTTTTTACCTTTTACTATTTCTTGGTTAGTGGAGTCTGTAACCTGAAGCGTATGTAACCTGAAGCGTATGTAACCCAAGGTACCAGTGTATCTTGTGTTGTAGTACTGTTGAGTGTGAGGACAGAGTCAAACCATAGGCTTTTAGGCGTATAGTGGGGGTGGCAGACTTCATTGCCTTTTGGATGCCAGTCGCCATTTTGAATCAAGGTGGTGGACTGAAACAGGACTTCGGCATAATTTCGCATGGTTTGGGAGATAGGTTTGCATGCCTCGTGATATCATTGCCAAACTCAGCATGAGGGTTCCTGAGGTGGGGGGCAGCAGCCTTCATCTATGTTTGGATGCCAGCTGCCACACTGAATCAAAATGGCAGACCAAAACATGACTTTGGTGTGACTTCAACAGGCTGAAGCTCACAAATGTAGCTCTTAAAATATTGCTGTCTTTCCCCCCTATGAATTTCTGGGCACTTCCTCTTAGTATAGGCAACAACTGATTTATGCACATCCAATTGGCATGTCTCTGCTCATGCCCGCATCATGGCAACCTGGAAATGGGTGCAAAAGGGGGTGGAACAGTGGGGGCAAAATGGGGCAGAACAGGACAAAACGTGGTGGAGTGGGCTTATGTGCGCTTCACTGTTGCACGCAGGGGCCAGGAGTGGAACTGCCATGCAAAATGGTTGCTACGTGCATAGTAGATAAGACCTAGAGGAGCAGGAGTGGATTCGAGTTATATGGCGCATTGAGCGAGAATAAAATCCCCCCACCTCCCAAAAAATAATTTCTTGCTTTCACAATAATTCCTTTTGGTACTGTTGCTCCCCCCCCCCGTAGGTATAAATATAGGTTTTCAGTGGGTTTTATGGGGGTACCTAAGGGTACGCAGTACCGGCACTCACCTCCCTGATGTTAAAAGTGTGGCACTTACTGTAATAACTTTAGGGCAAGTACCAGCAACCTTCCCCCCCCCCAAAAAAATAAAGCACTGGAATACCAGAAATTCCTATTTTGCCTTGAAAGAACATCAGGTTTCCCAGAATCACACGGACGTTTCCCATGCGTGAAACCAGAGCAATCCCAGGAGGAGAAGAATATTTATTTGCATCTGGCATATAAATAAAATGTATTGGTAAAAACTTCCAATTATAGAAAATACATTTTGGGGGTTTACATCAATAATCAAATAAAATATCTTATTCTAATTGAAAAAAGCACTGTATTTTATTCTTCTTTTTTATTTTGTGCCTCGGACTCCTGTGCGGGGTGGGGGGTAAAAAGGTAAAGGGAGGCCAGAGTTCAAATTCCCAACTCAGCCACGAAGCTGTGACCTTGGGGGCCCCGTCACTCACTCTCAGCCTAGCCTCCCTCACGGGGTTGTTGTGTGACTAAAATAAGGAGGAGGAGGAGAGGAACTCCGTGCGCCACCTTGAGCTCCTCGGAGGAAAGGAAATAGTGGAGCGAAGCGATGCGCGTTTTCATGCTGCGTCCCCTGTGCCTTTTCCTTAAGGAGTAAACCCCACTGAACTCCGCGGCCGCCAGGTGAGCAGGCGCGAGCATCCCTGTGGTCTGCGCGGCCGACCTTCCACCCTCCGCCCCCGCCATCTCCTCCTCCTTCTCCTCTTCGCCCCGGTAGCGGAAGCTCTTCTGTCGGCTTCGCGCTGCCGCCATCTCGGCAGCAGGAGGAGGCGGAGGAGGAGGAGGGGTTGGCGCGGGCAGCGGCTCTGCCTGGTCAGGCGGGGCGGGAAGCGGAAGGAGGGACACCCGGCGCGGCCTGTAAGTTACCCCCGCGAGGCCCGAGGCCCCGCCGTTGCCCCGGCGATGAGGCCGGGCCCTCCGTGAGAGGGTGGGAGGAGGGCTCTCTAGGTCCCAGGCTGACGCGGGAGGAGGAACGAGGTTTTTTTTCCCTTCTCCCCCCCCCCATTTCCAAAATAACGAAATTTTTAGCCTTGGGGGTCCCCGCCATGGCGAGCTGGGAGAGGCGGCCCTTCTTGAGAAATCAAATCTTAAAAGCGGGGCTTTTCAGGCTGGTCTCGATAAGCTAGGGCTGCACGTGGGAGGTCCTTGAGAAATAATAATAATTAATAATAAAAATAATGACGCATAAAGGGATTTTTTTTTTTTGCTCTGACAAACCGGGTAGTGGTTTTTTTTGGGGGGGAGGAGTTGTAATGTAAGGATTTTCAGCCTTGTGGTCCTGTCCATACCAAGAGGTTGAGGAAAATCCTTGCAAAATTGCTACAAAGGGTGGTTTTGCTTTATGGGGAGCTGGGGCGTGGCTTAGGGGGGGCTCTTGTGAAATTGTTATTATCATATAATAAATTACCTAGTAAGTTGGGGAGCTGCTTGGAGAGGTAATCACAAAGTTATTATTAAGGGGGGATTTTTCAGCCTTGTGGGGGGTCTCGTCATGCCAAGTTGGGGACAGCGGGGGGGCAGGTGGAGGATACTTGTCAAACTATTGTTGTTATTAAGAGGGACCCTTACCCACATCACTGTTCTGCTACAAAACCAACTTGTGATGAGGGGTTCTTTATTTGATACTGTACATTGACACTTATTTCTTTTTCTTTCAAATGCTAGCCTCTCTTATTCCTCCTCCTTCTCCCCCACTTTGCCATAGGGTCACCTTTCCTCCTTAATCTACAGCCTCTGGTTTTACTTGTCAAATCTACTCTGTGTATTTAGAGTACATCATTTCCCAACCCTCCAAAAAGATTAAATAATGGTGCTGGGAATGGTAAGGGTAAATATTCAGAGTCATGTGCTTTAAATGTATGGCGTGGGATATGACTACAGTGGTACCTTGGGTTACCCGAGGTACTATTTCTGGGTTAGCAGAGTCTGTAACCTGAAGCACATGTAACCTGAGGTACCACTGTACTTACTGCCACTCAAATGGTGATAATTATTTGGGGGTGGTTTATTCCTCTGTCCCTATAATAGCAACTGGGGTATGTGTGCTTCAAATTCTAGTCTACTCTTAGTCATTGGGCTAAGGGTGATTATTTCCAATTGCACTATGTACAGTGGGATTAAGACAATCTGTTTCCGTCTTGTATGTGGGATAGAGGAGCGGGGACACCATTGCATGCTAAGTGTGGACAATTTAAACAAGGGGTACTGAAGCCTCCCATTTTGGGTAGCTGGATTTTTAAGGTGGTGTTATTTTTCAAGTAGGTTGAGACTTCCTTGGTTTGATGAAGATGATTAAGGCCAACTTATCAGCCTGGAACTGAGGCTCAGTTGTAATCTTTTCCTCCTCCCCTGGAACAGGTTGATGAGACTACCGGGTGTGGACAGCGAATGACATTCTGTCATTGAGCAATTCAGGACACACCCGGTTGTATTTTGTGGACCTTCCTTGCCTTTAAAAACCTAGCCTGGCATTCTCAGTGGATTATTCTTTATGCAATTGTACTCAAAATAACCCACATGGAGCAAAAACTTGTCTATCTGGACCAAAATGAATTATGGGCAAGAGTAGCAGCCCCCATTAATTCTCCTTTTCCAAGAAAAAGACCTCACCCTAGTGGGAATTCTCCTCGCAATCCCAGATATAGTTTCTGCTCCTTCTCTCTCTCAACCCAGCTCAATATCATTCAAAGTGTGGGCAAAATGTTGCTTTCGTAGGGTCCTCTACACCTTGGCCCACAATCATTGTTGCCACTGCTGCCTCCTTCAAACACTGTTTATGTGACTTGGTGTCTGTGGCAAGATTGCTTGCGCTTAGTCCAGGCTCATAAAGTGTAAGCAGGGAACTGTGAGCAGATTTCACTCTGAGAAAATTATTGGCAGCAAAGTGAATCTCTTGTGTTTTGGTGGGCATTTTGCACAACTGGTTTGCCATGGAGGACCCAGGCTAGAAATGAGCAGATTTGCTGGTGCCATAATGGTTGTATGGGTTTGTTTTATGTGGCCAGAAGAGAGATAGTTAAGGGAAAGTGTAACTGCCATGCAGTTTGTTTATCCCCTGATGGCCCTCAAGCAAACAGCAATTATAATACCTGAACTCATAGCTTAGCAGTAAATGCTCTTGGCTGGAAAAAGTACTGCAGTTCTGTAATGGTCTTACATGCTGTTTCTCCTTAACCTGCCTGCTTAAGGGGCAGTACAGCCAGCCAGAGTAGTGGCATGGTACTTTTTCCACCTGAAACTCCCCAAGTCCAATAGCAGGGCACCATCTGACAACCAACCTACAAAGGCATGTGACTGTTAGTTGGCCCATGTTCAGGAGATCTCGTTCCCATACTTGTTTTATTTTATATTCTTTATTGAAATACAAAAAAAACTACATAATTACAAGTGCACAGGGTAAGATAAGACACAAAAAAGAAAATAAAAGAAATAGGACCCGTGTAGAAAACAAAACAGAACAAAACAAAATTGTATACCAAAGTACGTCCTTTGGAATTCAGTTTTGTATCAGAATTAAGGCCTTTGGAATTCAGTTTTTAATGTTTTTGGATTTTAACAAATTGTATATACATATTTTTTGTTTGCTTGTGAATCGCTTTGCGTTTTTTAAAAAGTGGGAAGCAATATTATATCAATTAATTATTTATATATTGGATTTCTTCCAAGCCTTGAACAATAATTGCCCCAGGGCAGAGTACAGCAATATAGAAATGCAATAGTAAAATCAGTTACAGCAGTTTGCAGTCAGAAGAATACAATGGGTCCTGATACATACCAAATCTATACAGTGTCTAAGGCTAGAGTAAAGAGGTGTGATGTCAGCATGTGGATGCTAGACACACCTCTGTGGGGAAGGAATTTCACTATTTGGGGGCTGCCACAGAGAGCATATTCAAACGTAATAAAGCTAAACCCTCTGAGGGTTACTTTGGCAGTGGACTCTATTGCGGTCTTCCTGTTCTCCCTGCTGCCCAATACTTTGGTTTTGTAGCTTATGTGTGAAAGGTGCTGGCATCTGATCCTTGACGCCTGCCTGGAAAGAGAAACAGGCCTCTAGTGCTTTCAGCACTGTAGCCTTTGTAACACTTTTGGATTCATTTTTTTAAAACTCAGGGACAAAGTTATTACTGGGAGATACTGGTCTTCAGGCACCTTGGTCCCATGCCCATCTGCTCAGAAGTAAATCCTGTTGAGTCAAATGTGGCTTAATCCTAGAACTGTCGGCATAGAGTTTTCTCCTTAATGGTTTTTCTCAGTACTTTTTTTCTTTTATGTCACTTGGGATTCTTGATACTTTGTTTCCCAGGCCATCCAGAAGTCTTAATATCAGATAAGATATTAAGTTCTGTAATGGTTGCATCCACGCCATACATTTAAAGCACTCCTATACCACTTTAACAGGGACGCGGGTGGCGCTGTGGTTAAAGCCTCAGCACCTAGGACTTGCCGATCGAAAGGTCGGCGGTTCGAATCCCCGCGGCGGGGTGCGCTCCCGTCGTTCGGTCCCAGCACCTGCCAAAATAGCAGTTCGAAAGCACCTTCGGGTGCAAGTAGATAAATAGGGACCGCTTACCAGCGGGAAGGTAAACGGCGTTCCGTGTGCTGCGCTGGCTCGCCAGATGCAGCTTGTCACGCTGGCCACGTGACCCGGAAGTGTCTGCGGACAGCGCTGGCTCCCGGCCTATAGAGTGAGATGAGCGCACAACCCTAGAGTCTGTCAAGACTGGCCCGTACGGGCAGGGGTACCTTTACCTTTTATACCACTTTAACAGTCCTGACTTCCCCCAAAGAGTTGTAGAAACTGTTGATTGTTTAGTGTGCTGTGTTGTTAGGAAACCCTGAAAGCTACAGGATTCTTTGCATGAAGCCATGACTGTTAAATTGGTGTAAGAGTGCTTTATTGATAGTACGAATGGGACCCTTATTATAATTAGTGTTTCCTCCAGATACACAGACATGTGAAACTACCTTATTACTGAGTCAGATCATTATTGATCTACCCTGAAAGCAGTTCAAAGATCTCAGGCAGAAGTCCCCCTCATCCCTGTTTTCCTGAGAATTTTTAAAGCGGATATGCCAAGGAGTGAAGTGGGGTTCATGGGGATCATTTGCATACATATCATGCGCTTTACCATTGAGTAATGGTCTGCTAATAGGTGAGTTCCGTTTTCCATTATGGAGATCAGTTGGAGTGATTTACAGACCACTTAGGGCTTACCTGCTGGACGAAAACAGTCCAGCTGCACTGTGTGTTGAAAGCTTATTATAGCTGACTGCACAGCGAAATCAGAGATAGGTATTTCCGTGGCTGTTAGTGGTCACACCAGGGCTAGCCCACCCATAAGACAAGGTGAGGCGACTGCCTCAGGTGGCGGGATTCACTGGACCAGCAGACCCAGATGTCAGTCTTTCTTCCTGCCTTGCTCCTGATGTAGATCTTCCCTGGTGGGAAAGGAGGGCCCATTTTGGGGTCCGCTTGAGGTGCCAAAATGTCTTGGGTTGCCCCTAGGTCACATCCTGTAATAGTGAAGTCAGGTGGTAAGTATTGATAGGGTTTGAGCTAAAATGGGGACCATTGAGAAATAAGGGAGACCCCAGATAAATGCAAAGTTGGGTATGGGGGAAGCAGAATGCCCCATGCGAGTCCTTTGTTGCTTACAGTTTCCTAGAGAAGATGGCTGAGTGGTCAATACCTTAAACAGGAGCACTTTTGCTAGGAGGTGAGGAGACACTGACATTTTGTTGTAGCACCTATTTGCAATACCGCCATGTACAGAGGAAATATGGCCCTGAATATTAGGCCTTCAGGACAGTGTCCGACTTCTGAGTATCCAGAGAGGCACATGGCTGTGTGCTGTTGGAAACAAAGTGCTGGAGGACTAGATGGACCTTTGCTCTAATCCAGCAGGGCAATCCTTGCATCCCTACGGAGTCGTTTCCTGATTGCTTCATTCAGCATGCCATAGTACGAGTGATATGAGCTAACTTTTGCCTTCCACTAACTTACCGGTAATCTAGGACAGAAAATGTATTTGACCCACCCAACAAGGTGATTAGCCAGCTGCTTCCCCTCATGACACCCTGGAGCTCCTGCCATTGAAACCAAGGTGGTTACGGGGAAGGTGCCTTCTAGGTGGAATGTTTGTGGAATGCTGCTCGCCTTGTGTCTTTGTTACATATCTTTAGTTGCTAGGCAAAAAATATTCTTCTTTTCCCAGGCCTTTGGCTACTTAAATAATCCATGGCCTTTTAAATGGGGCAGGGAGGGATATAGTTTCGGTTTGTTATTATGATATGTACTTTGTGTTTTTATATTGTAAACCACCCTGTGATCTTTGGATGAAGGGTGGTATAAACATTTAATTAATAACCCCATAATAACAGCTCTGTAGTCATAAATCTTTTCAGATCTGGGACCCACTTTTAATTCAAACATGAATTTGCGGACCCACTTCATAATTTTTTTACCATGTATTTTTATGACGGCAATACTGTTGTTGTGACCCACCTTAGGTTAGGCTGCTACCCAGTAGTTGGTTCCGGAACCCATCAGTTGAAAACCAGTGTTCTGAGATGATGTCTGTGCGCTTGTGGAATTTTCTCCCCCAGGGAAGTTTCCTTGGTACCTCCTTAAGTGTCCTTTTTGGCAGCAGATAAAGACCTTTGTAATATTTTCCTGGGCTTTTAAGCCCTCAGTTTAACCTGTGCTATACCCTTCTCCTTTCCCCCCTGCTTTATTTCATTTATTGTTTTACTGCGTATTTTATTCTTCTGCCTATTATTGTTTTAAACCACCCTGAAAATATTTGTGTTGAATGGTAGTGTCTAAATTCTATTAAAATCACGTAATATGCATATGACATGTTGAGCAGCTGGGGTGGATTTATTTTTGGTCATGTTGGTCAGCCCCTGCTCTGCCACACTGGTAGGGAAGCCCCAGCCTGCAAGCCAGATGTGCCTTAGAGGCACCCAACCTCTCCACACACCCCATAGCAATTGGATTTTTTAAAAAGAAAAGCTTGTCTCTATCATTCAGGTTTTTTAAACGCCTGATTGGGGTAGAGGGGCTTGGGAGTCATAGTTGTAAACCACCCCCCCTCCATAGCACTTAAGCTTGGGAAACAGTCTCTCATTAGCTCTAAGAGTATATTATGATCCTTGTATCTTCAGTAGAACTGTGCAACTTGAAGTGTTTGTGAATTGCCTTGTTAATATGGCGAAATGATTAACTACTTGCTTATCTTTAGGCCAACCTCTCCCAATTCCTTTGTTGTGAGAGATGCTTTTTATCATGGCATCTCTTCTTTCTTTTTCTGATCCCGTTTCCTCCTTCTGTAAGCACTTAATGCTGTGGCTGTATGCTCCTGCTCTGTAGCTCTGGGAGTAGAATTGCACTCTTGCTTAGAGAAGCATAGCCCCGCCTCCCGTAGAAATGGCCAACCAGGAAGTTGTACCAAGTGATCCTTTTGATGATGTGGCACAGCAGCTACTGTGGAGATACTTCGAATTGCCACAAAGTGCTGTTCCCCCTTCCGTCATAAATCAAGAGAACCAATGGGTCTGCATTTTGCTCACATGCTTACTCTGTGTCACAGAATTGTGCTGAGTTGTGAACAGGAGATGAAAGCCAGGCAAAGATTTCAGATTTGGGTATCTTTCCTCCCCTTTTCAATGAAAGTGGAACTCTGCACTTGAAATGGCAGGCAGAACGTGGTACATCAGACTGCAGAGCCACCGTGTTTTGTTTTATTTTGCGTTTTTATGCTGTGAACTACCCTGAGATCTTCAGATAAAGGGTGGTACACAAATTTAATAATAATAATAGAAAAGAATACAGATTAAACAAATTCAGGTGTAGTGTAGTGGGAGACGAGGACCTTGGGAGACCAGGGTTCAAATCCTCACTTAGCCATCAAACTCAGTGGGTGACCTTGGACCAGTCACAGTCTATCTCAGTCTAATCTACTGCGCAGGGTTGTTGGGAGGATGAAAATGTGGAGGAATGTAAGAAAATCCTAGATGGCACTAGCCCACCTAGTTCTCACAGTGCCTATCAGAAACTGGCAAGCAGGACCTAATAGCACTCTCCCTTCCTGTGGCTTCCAACAGCTGGTAGTCAGAAATATTACTGCCTCCAACCATAGAGGCAGAGCTTAGCCATTGTGACTTGTAGCTACTGATAGCCTTTTCCTCCACGAATTTTTCCAATCCTCTTTTTAAGTCAGCCAAGTAGGTGACCATCACTGCCCTTTCCGGGAGCAAACTCCATAGTTTAATAACTATACGCTGCATGAAGAAGTCCTTCCTTTTATCTGTCGTGAATCTTGGCACAAGAGTATTATGCCAAAGCTCAGTTACGTTAATGTTCTTGCTTTTGTTTCCACAGCAACAATGTCAGAAGGGGACAGTACTGGCGAGTCCATTCATGGCAAATCTTCAGTGGTCTTTAGATTTTTCACAAGACTTGGACAGGTTAGTTTCACACGAGGGGCTGAGAGATGCATAAATAAAATCAAAGGAGTTATCACTCAGGGTAGTTTAAAGCTGCAACTTACAGAAAGGAACTGCAGCCAGATCTCTCACCTTCTACTTGCCCATAGGAGTGGTGGAAGAGGCATCAGGTATCTGGGGAACTCTTGACTGGGAGCACTCAAATTGCACTGTGTGCACATTCAAGATTGCACTCACCATGCAGTCAGTCCTGCAGATAGTTCTGTATTTTTGAGTCCTGTTGAACTCAATGAGACGACCATGTGTGAAACGTGTGCCCCCCTCCAACGTTGTTGGGCTACAGCTCCCATCATCCCTGACCATTGACAATACCAATGGGAGCTGGAGCCCCAAAACTCCAGTGCACACTGTACTGTAGTAGTAGTAGTAGTAGTAGTAGTAGTAATAATAATAATAATAATAATAATAATAATAATAAAATATACCCCGCCTATCTGGCTGCGTTCCCCCAGCCACTCTGGGCGGTTCCCAACAGAATATTAAAAACACGATAAAATATCAAACATTAAGAACTTCCCTAAACAGTATACAGGATCGCTGCTGTAATTGTTAGCTATATAATGCTGTTGTAATAGCTTGCAGTCTTTTGACAAGTGATGATATGCTGTTATTATTAGCAACTTGATGAATATCTTAATACTGCATTTTTTCTAGATTTATCAGTCCTGGTTAGACAAATCTACTCCTTATACTGCAGTGCGATGGGTTGCAACGCTGGGTTTAAGTTTTATCTACATGATAAGAGTTTATCTACTGCAGGTAAGAGGACTGAGCACCACTTGCTGATCCTGCTGCATGTGTGTGGAGTCACTCTGTTTATTGTTGGTTCAAAGATATTTATGTTTGATGGAAGCAACAGTTTTTACTTCCTTTACATACCTTTAACGAGAGATACTAAATTACATGTGATATGCAAGATAATTGTCTGCACAAATGAAATGTCACAGAACTAATATGAGTAGCATTGAAAAATATTTGATTCAGAAGATATAGTACTGTACTGATTATTGAAGCAGTATCTTATGAGAGCCAGTGTGGTGTAGTGGTTAAGAGCGGTAGTCTGGTAATCTGGGAAACCGGGTTCGCGTCTCCGCTCCTCCACATGCAGCTGCTGGGTGACCTTGGGTCAGTCACACTTCTTTGAAGTCTCTCAGCCCCACTCACCTCACAGAGTGTTTGTGGGGGAGGAAGGGAAAGGAGAATGTTAGCAGCTTTGAGACTCCTGAAGGGGAGTGAAAGGCGGGATATCAAATCCAAACTCCTCCTCCTCTTCTTCTTATGATAAATAATGAACACAATAAACCTCCTGTTAGTTTTGTGTAAGGAAAGAATGGTAATCTGAAAGCACTTCTGTGATTCTGTTTTTGTGTCTGTTTGGGTATAACCAGTGTTATCAGTTATCAGGGCTGGATAACTTGTGGCTTTCCAGATGTTGCTGGATTGCAGTTCCCATCATCTCTTAGCATCGACCACTTTAACGAGGGTTGATGGGAGGTGGAGTTCAACAACATCTGGAGGACCAGATTACTGCAACAGTATATGCACCTGGGAGCGAGTGCCATCAAACTCCATAGGTAAATTTACACCAGTAGATTGTTCCATTGTTATCTGTATTTATGCCAATTGAAAAATCACCTTATGAGCTGGAACCTTGAGAAGCTGGCCTCCTGCCACCCTCCCACCCCACCTTCTGATTACTTATTTTAGCAGTGTCCCTGTTTGTCTGCTTGCCCTTGTTTAGATTAAAACCTCTAAGCTGCAGGGAAAAATAAATTCATCCGACTGTAACAAAGTGGAGGAACAAGCACCATAGGAGAATAGCAGATTTCTGTTTGGATTGCTTTTGAGCACCTCCATTTTAGCCTTAAGATGCATCTGCACTGAGAAATCTTCAGGCTCGGGGTGTGCTTGTTCATTACATTCGTGCCCCCCACACTTGCATCTTTATTTGCTCCTACTTTATTAAGATCTCTGCCACCCCCCTAAATATCATGCTTCTCTTTTATCTCTCCTTATTTCCCTTCTGCTCTCATGCTGTTTATGCTTTATTCCTTGCTTCTAGTTGATTTAGGTCAGGGATAGGGAAATCAAACAGCAGCTTCAAACACCTTTGATCATTGGTCATGTTTACTGGGTGTGGTGGGAACAGCATCAGGGGGATGGACAGATTCCCCAATCCTCGTTTGCTCTGGATCTGATTAACATTATTCGTTTACCATATATTGTTGAGCCCTCCCATTTCAGACTAGCCAACATGGTGCCCCCCAGATTTTTTTTGGACTACAGCCCCCATCATGCTGGCTGGGGCTGATAAGGGTTATAGTTGACAATATTTGGGGAGCACTATGGTGGCTACCCCCAACAACCCCCTCATATAGTCAAGTATTGCAGATTGTGCGCAAGCAGTTTTGTGTAGGTAGGTGTGTTTCTGTACTTAGAGCCATGTCCTCATTTGACATTTTCTTCTTCCTTCCCCTTCCTAGGGTTGGTACATCGTGACATATGCCTTGGGCATCTACCACCTAAACCTTTTCATAGCTTTCTTGTCGCCAAAGGTAGATCCCTCTCTAATGGAGGACTCAGGTATAAAGAACATCACTAGCCCTGCTTTTCTCTTGCATGGGTGTTGGTTGTTGCATGAGCTTATTATATATCAGATGTGGGGAAGCCTTTTCAGCCTGAGGACCACATACCAGTGCTGGGCAGGGCCATAGGCAAAAGTGGGGAGAGCAACAAATGTCTATTTCACCTTTTCCATAACAAGCTAGTTTCTGTACACACTCACATTGCATTATTTATGCTTCATCCAGGCAAGAACGAAGCATCAGAAGGCTTCAAGGACATATTCCAATCTGGCAAAAACACACAAGGCGGGCAGGGTGTGTGTACAAAGCAGGGCTGGTGAGCGATGTAGCTTGGGGAGAGTCCTGAGAATCAGATAGAGAGGCTTGGAGGTTTCTGCTTGTCTGCTATGAAAAAAGGATGCTAAATCTGATATGTGTACACACACACACACACAAAAACAACAACAACAACCCTAGAACATATTTGGGACTTAGGCACAACTTAGTATGTTTTAAGTTGCACCTGCTATCTATGGGTGCGAAGAGTGCTGGAGTGCCAACCACTTCTCAACTTTATTGAGTGACCAGACTCCCAATTATCCCCACAGAAAACAGTGTTTTTTGTAGTGTTATAACACTCTATGTTTGCTTGTGGCCCTGTGTGAATTTTCATAGCAAGAACAACTGACTCCTGTAAGGTTTGAATGTAAGAGTTCAACCAGTGCTAGTCACATCCTGTGGATTGCATGGCACATAACTGAATATGACACCTTCTAGGAGTTGAGTGATTTCATTTTTAGATCCTAGGATAAACATATAAATGATGTATTAGAAATGCTGACAGAGTTTTGACAGAGCCAGAGTTAGAATCCCTGATTTTGTATTACTTCCTTCACTTCCCTGTGGATTGAAATACCTCCCCTCCAGTTGAGACTGGAATGACATTGCTTTCACGTTTCATACTTTGTGGAGATCTGTGCTGCAGTTTCTCTTGCACGTAACAGCCCTTTGATCACCTGTTAATAATTTTTTTGTTTCCTTGTACACTTTAATGGGTGATTTGTCTCTAGCACAGCCATTCATACCTGCTCTAAGTATGGTAGTAGTAACAGAGGGAGCCTCCTTACATCAGATAAGGCTGTCCATTGAGCTCAGTATTGTCCAACCTGATTGGCAGCAATGGTCCAAGGTCTCCAGCAGAGGCCTCTCCAAACATCTGCTACTGACCTTTGTTAATTGGGCATGCCAAGGGTTGAACCTGCAAGAGTTAAATGCAGAAGAAAGCAGTTCCTAAGACTTTGCATTTCCTCCTCTTCTCAGATGAGGGTCCTTCATTACCTACAAAACAAAATGAGGAGTTTCGACCCTTCATTCGAAGGCTGCCAGAGTTCAAATTCTGGTGAGTACGTTTTAATAGCAATGCAAAAGGATTCAAGTCCCTGACCATTCGTCTTTCCTGTTCTCCTGCCTCTCATAGGCATGCCTTCTCTTTGGCCTCAAGCTTGTGCCGCCCTCCTTACAGTGCGTACTTAACAAGTCGCCCAGTTGCCACCTCTCCCAAATCTCTGGCCTTCTAGTGCCTTTTCAGTATTAGCCACCTCTTCCACATGATAGGTATGCTTGATTTGAAGGCTCAACTCAGGCATCACAAGTCCAAATATCCATCAGTATTGCATTGAGCCTTAGTTTTAACCATAACATAAATCACAGAAGGAGGGAGGGAGGAAAAGCAGCAATCTTGGGTACTAAACCTAGGTTACCAAGTTCTCGGAAACAGTTCAGCTAGCCTGATGAAATGGCTACTGCTAGGTGACAGCTACAAGAAGGGTCCAAAGACAGCTGGTCCCTCTGCAGAAGTGATAGAATCTTCTTTTCTGCCTCTTAAGGCATCATAAGAGAACCTTCTGCTGTGAGGTGCAGGATAGCAATGCTGAGGAAGAGGTGGAAATAGTCTTTTATGGCTTGGATGTCAGGAATGTTGCTGTGGGCTTGGTCCTCCTTCCCACTCCTCTCCTAGGCAGGTTTCTCCCTCGCCTTCATGGTTTTCTATAACCAGGATTTGCTGTGGGTCAGCAAAGTATCATTAGAGCCTTGATTTCCAAGGATGATCAGAAGCCTCTTTTTGCAGACTGTGATCCAGACGTTAGCACTAACCATGAGTTGCAGATTCAGGTGTCACAGCAAACTGTGGTCGGGGAAAACCAGGAAGTGGAGGGGAGAATGCTGGAGATCAGAAATGGTATGTGAATTGGGGATTAATGCCCTTAAAAGAATTTTCGTACACAGTCAACCTAACTGCAACTATCTTTTCCTTCCAAGGCACTCTGCTACTAAAGGCATCCTTGTCGCAATGACATGTACATTCTTTGAGGCTTTCAATGTTCCAGTTTTTTGGCCAATTCTTGTGATGTACTTCATTATGCTTTTCTGCATCACAATGAAAAGGCAAATCAAGGTAAGAATCTAACCAAGTTGTTCTTTTTTCCAGGTTGTGGATTCTCCTAAACATGAGAGAGAGGGATTGCCCCAACATAATGGCAATATCACTGGCTATGTTGTAGCTCAAAAATTGCTAGTGGTGGTGGGTTTTTTTTGAAAGACCCCCATAGTTGGAGTAGAGTTTGAGGCTTTGTCTAACACTGATGAGGGTAGTCTGGGGGCTGTTTCCAATGTGACCTCCTTCCAAAAGCATCGTTTTTTTAAAAGGAAAAAAATGATTTCTCCTTTGGATCCCTTGCTGTGATCCTTGAACTCAAAGAACATTTTAGTGGACATCCAGCTTTTAAAAGAAAATACTAATTGCTTCCATAGGCTCCCCCTATTGATAGTGATGTCCCCCCCAAAAGGCCTTAATTTTTTTAAAAAAATAAGTGGGTTGTATCCAATTAAGTATTACTAATAGTAGAGCCAATGGGATGCGGGTGGCGCTGTGGTCTAAACCACAATCAGAAGGTTGGTGGTTCGAATACCCGCGACGGGGTGAGCTCCCGTTGCTCGGTCCCTGCTTCTGCCAACCTAGCAGTTCGAAAGCATGTCAAAGTGCAAGTAGATAAATAGGTACTGCTCCGGCGGGAAGGTAAACGACGTTTCCGTGCGCTGCTCTGGTTAGCCAGAAGCGGCTTAGTCATGCTGGCCACATGACCTGGAAGCTGTATGCTGGCTCCCTCGGCCAATAAAGTGAGATGAGCGCCGCAACCTCAGAGTCATCCGTGACTGGACCTAACGGTCAGGGGTCCCTTTACCCTTTAAGAGTAGAGCCATTGATATTAATGAACCTAAGTTAGTCATGTCCATTAGCTTCGATGGATCTACTTTAGCTAAGACTGGTATTGGTACAACCCACTGTTCTTTGGTCACACCCACTTTGATATGTGGCCCACAAAGCGTTGTCCACGGCCCTAAGTTCCTCCAAAAAAGATAGCCACTGCTGTTCAAACACATGAGCACATTCAGGTGTTTAAGGCGGAGTGAGCAGAGGGAGGGGAGTGCCGTGGGTGTGCTCTAAAAGCCTTGTTTTTCTTTCCCTTTTGTTGCAGCATATGATAAAATATCGATATATACCCTTCACACACGGCAAGAGGAAATACAAAGGGAAGGAAGATGTGGGGAAGACCTTTGCTAGCTAGAAATTATACTGAGCCTGCTGACCAACTCCCTTCATTACAATTAAAAGTCCAGTTTTGAGCCATTGTAATGATGCCTCTTTCCTTCATACCAAGTCATCAGTAATAACGAGGGTGGGGACTAAGAAGTTGTATTTCTCCCCCCGCCCCCTGCAGTTTATTGAGTGTCAGGCTCCCCACCTCCCCCCACCCCCAGCAAGAGAATATCAGCCATATCATCTTGTTATTCTTTGGATATAAGTTATGTCCAAGGGCTGCTTCTGCCCCCCCCCCCTTCTGTTGTTGCACAACAGGAATCATCCCATGTTCTCAAAACATCTCATGGGAAGTACATGCTACTGGTTTCAGCTCCTTGGAAGTGCAGGATTTGAGTGGCAATTCCGCAAGTTTCTGGTGCACATTTAGCAAGACAGAGTAATAAAAGAAGGTAGAACATTCATTTCAAGCCCCCTCCTCACAAAAGTATAGCCTAGTGTGGAACAGGGGAGTTCCCACAACTGTATTTATTTATTTTTGGGTCCTTTGTGTTGATCTAGTCCAGAATGCATCCTGGTACATTGTTGAAATGCTTTGTGCATCTACAGAGGAAGATGAGACACAGTGATAATGTTTTCTGCTTTGTAATGTCCCAGGTTTTGACTAACAGACTGTTTACAGGACCTCTGGTGATATTACTTAAGAGGGAAACTTGAGAACGTTGAAATAAGCCTACCCTGAGTTTTTTATTTTCAAAGTGGAAAAGGAATTAATTGATTTAGCTTTTATGGTGGAAAGGCTGATTTCTTTTTGGCTCTTTCATAATGGCTCACTATTATTCTTAATCATGTTTTTGGGGGCCAGGGTTTGCTGGAGGTCTGGAATTAAATTTATAAAAAATTATTATGTGGAGAGTATTTTGACACATTTTATTTGATACTTAAAAAAACTTTTTAAGTTTGCTTCATGTAGCCCTCTCCAAGGTACATCTACACCGGCCATGGCAGACCGAGACTTTGTGGGTTTTAACACAGCTTTTAATTTTCTATGGAGAAAAATATAGAAATAAATGATCTGCATGTAAAACTTTTTCAATGTGATACAGCTATAAACAGTTTTATTAAGTGACTTTTTAAAATTCCAAACTTTATTAAAAGACAGTGTCCCTTTCTTGGGTTCAGTAGTCTTTATAACAACCAACGTAAGGTACTAAGTGTTAACATTACTTCCTTTTTCCTCTAAACATTATGTTGTATCCAAAGTACTATGTGGAACAGAACCTTGAAAATAATGAGTGTTGAGTAACTTAGGTCTACTAATTTCAGTGGGTCCACTCAGAGTAGCATTAACATTGGATGCAACCCATTCTGTTTAAATATTTTGGAATAATGTATTTGAACTCTAGCTGTCTGAAAACAGTCCTTTGCATTACTGTGCAAACCATAGCTGCTCATGATGCAGTCTAAAAGGAAATTTTCCCTCTGTATTGGGCGGACCTGTGATAAGTGTAAAATATCCTGTGCCATGTGAATTGGATCGCCCCGCTTTCAGCAGTATGGAAAAAATGTGTGTTGCCCCCACACCCACACCCCAACGTTCTTAGAAGTCAGTCATAGGGGGATCTGTTTACATTTCTAAACAATACTATGAAAAATATTGTACAAGGGACCAGAGGTATTGCAGAAGAAAACTGCAATGAATAATCCTGATCCTTACCACTGTGCATAGAAGCAAGTTCCAGTGATATCAACTGGGCTTTAATATCTGTTAGTATACGTGTTGTTAAAATGGTATGGAGCTGGGGCAGTAGCTAGAAAAGTAGACTAAGTAAATTTGTCAGAGGTTAATTCATGCTCTCCTCTGTATCAGACCTCAGCTGCATTACTCTAGGACTAAAACGTCACAATGTAGAAGGGCAGACACATACCCTCCCCTATGTGGAAACGTGTTCACACCAGCTCTAGCTGTTGACTGCACGTGGTGCAGCTTCTACTGTATATTCCTTCTGCTAAGGGTGGCAAACCAGTAGTCCTACAGTTGTTGGTCCACAACTCCCTTCCTCTCCGACTATTAGCCATGCATGCCAGGCCTGATGGGAGATGGTCCAGCAACAGCCGGTAGAGGCACCCTATTGGCTACTTTTGCCTTATGTACCCATCGTACAAGATTACCCCAATCTTTGCCAAACTGAATTTCTGACAGTCGCTGCACTGTAGGGCGCTCATTCCAACTTAGAACTTCAGCTTTATATTTTAAAAAAACTAACCAACAGCTATAGTTTATTAGGCATAGGGGATTTTAGCAGCACACAAACTCAAAATTAATTTCCATATGCATGCCCTAGTATCTTTTGGAATGGTAAAATGTTCTCATTAAGCTACTACCTCTCAGAGAATGTAGTTTCCCATAAGAATAGCCCAGCTGAATCAGGTCATAGACCCATCAAGTCCAGTATTCTGCTCTCAGTGGCCAACCAGATGCCTCTGGGAGGCGTGTAAGCAGGACCTGAAGGCAACTGCACGCTCCCTCCATTTTCCAGTATTGAGAAACATACTGCCTCCACTCACAGAGGCAGAATATAAGCATTGTGGCTAGTAGCCATTGATAGCCTTATCCCCCATGGATTTGTCTTAATTCTTTTTTAAAGCGACCCAAATTGCTGGCCATCACTGCCTCTTTTGGGAGCAAATTCCAAAGTTTTAACTTTGTGCTGTGTGAAGAAGTACTTTCTTTTATCCCGAACCCCCCAACATTCAGCTTCATCAATGTCAACGAGTTACAGTGTCATGAGAACACTACTGGTAGGTCTAGCAGATGCCTGCCAACGCTTAAAAGGGTTATACCAGAATTTAGGTAATTTGTGTGCTTTGTTCTACAAAGAAAGAGGATCAACACCAGAAGTTTGTTTTGTAAGATGACAAGTTCGTATCTCCTTGTACAGGCAGTGCAACTCAAGTGTTAAGCTGCTCAGTTTTATCACAGCAATTTAATATCATAATATCAAAATAAAGTCTTACACTTGGTCAAAAGCTGTAGTATTTTCGTTGGTTCCTAACACTTTGCAATCTAACAACCGCACAGGTGGCTGTTATCGATAGTGTTGCAGATAAATCAGCTTCTGCGGATGGAATTTCTCTCTGCACAGTGGGCACTCAGCCTGCAGGAGAGGAAAAATAAGTATCTTAACTAAACAAACATCTCCCAGTAACCAGTTTGTAAGTCTTTTTCCAGCTAGCTTTTTCTGACAGTTACCCGTTTGCACACCCTAAGTTCTCTACAAATGGAACCACGGGCCTTCCCTCAGTACCAGGGGCTTTTGATGGTATGTAGAACTCTTACAGGCATAGAGCTATATTTATAGACAGAATTGTGTAGATGCTGTGGAAGTGCAGAAAAGCTACCTGCTGTGGTATCTAGAGCTGCTATTTAAAACATTTCTAACCTGCCCTTCATTGCAATGTGATATCAATGAAGAGTTTGAGGTGCTAGAGTCAATTCTACAACAGTAAACCAGTTCTTAAAAACTAATAGGAACTAACCCTCAGTCTAGTCATTTTGAGTCCAACTGTTGAACTGTAGCTCCCATTATCCCTGACTATTGGCCATGTTGGCTGGGGCTGCTGGACTCCCAACAACATCTGGAAGACATCAGGCTCCTCGTCCCCGAATTAAGGAATTGTCTTAACAGATTATCAACTAGACTCAGAGAATGCAAGTGCATATCGGCACCTGCTAGAATTGAAAGTTGAGAACTCAAATCACATGTAGTTTCCTCCTTTGGTAAGACATCGGGAAGAATGAAACCAAGGAGCTATTTCAGGGAACCTACTTCTTCAGCTTCTCTTTTCCTACAGCTCTCATTTCCACTGCGAAAAGGAAACCTGACAGGACTTGGCTTTTGTTTTAAGAGTTCAGCATCCTAGGAGGGGTCTGTGTTTACCTTGGTGTTGCACCACTCAGTGATGCATTCCCAGCAGAAGAGGTGTCCACACGGGGTGGCTGTAGCATGGCGGCGTTCTTCTAAGCACAGAATGCAGCGAGAGCTTCGGCCGAGGAACTTCTCCTCAGGCTGGGTTCTGAGAGAGGACAAAGTCAGGCACAAGTGCTCTTCAGGTTAATGCCCCAAGGGAGATGATGCTTCTGCTGCCAAGGTTCTAGCATATGACGCCATCAGGAGAAACTTAGCTTTGTAACAGGGTTATAGCCAATGCTAGTCCTACTCAGAGTAGACATGAAAGAAAGTGACGTTACTAACATGGGTCTATTTCAGGTCATCTACTCTTGAGTAAACATTTGCACCCATTTTTTTAAAAAAGATTACGCTCCTAGCCCTCATACTTATGACTGCTGTTCCTGGGTAGTACTGCTTTCTGCCTAAAAATAAAGGTGTGGGGAAATGATCTTCAAAGTTACTTAGCAAGTTCCAACAAGATGCGAAGACACCCAACAAGAGCTATTTCTCTAAGGTAGGGGTAGGCATACTGTTCTTGGTTTTTTTGGTTTTCCTTTTTCCTTCTTTTCCCAATATATCACCCTCTGCCATTTACGTACCGAGAATTCCATGTACTGAAAGCCCAATGTTTGCAAACACAATATAACCAACCCATTCAAATTACACAATTCATTTTAACCAGACCAATTACACACTGAGTTGGTTACCCAGTTTTGATGCCAGGACACAGTTTTAGCCATCCTTAACACCTGTTGATTGTCAAGCACAATATTAAGTTAATCTAGGTTTTCGAACACAGCTCAGATGCCACTGCATGTGCCCCCGCCCTTCATTCCAGCTAATAATACTACATAGTTCAAGAACACTGGCAGGAACCTTTTTCATCCTGCAGGCCGCGTTCCCTTCAAGGCTACTTTCCAAGGGCTGTGGGCCAGTGGTGCACAGGGACACAGGCAAAGGTGTGTGAACAAATACATACATTAACACGGTGCAAAGCAGCACCAGTGAAGGCTGTAGCCTGGGCACAATTTTGACGGCCAGAGAGGGGCCTGAATATTTGATCCCCACGCCTGAGGCTCCCAGGCATCTACACCACCCCCTGTAAGCATCTGGTAAGCAAAATGCCACTAGCATACCTTGGGTAGGAGAGGTTACGGTGCACCTTCCATTCTTGTCTTGCCCTCTGCCTCTGTTGGAAGCTGTATGCATGGACACCAACTGTTAGTGCCAGGTGCAGCACTGAAAGGATCCCAAGAAGCCTGTAACTTGATCGAACATGCTGGTTGTCTACATCTAATCCTGCATAGCGTAGCTGGGAGGGGGGGGGAGACACAAAAACACCACTTGATATTGATGCATTTTGTGTGATCTGTGAAGGAACCTAGAGAACTGCAGTGTTGAAGTACAGATTTTGTTTAGAAAGAATGGAAACCAGCCCACTTGACTTTTGAATCTTGAACTGCATACAGAAGAAGAAGAAGAAGAAGAAGAAGAAGAAGAAGAAGAAGAGGAGGAGGAGGAGGAGTTTGAATTTGATATCCCGCCTTTCACTCCCTTTAAGGAGTCTCAAAGCGGCTAACATTCTCCTTTTCCTTCCTCCCCCACAACAAACACTCTGTGAGGTGAGTGGGGCTGAGAGACTTCACAGAAGTGTGACTGGCCCAAGGTCACCCAGCAGCTGCATGTGGAGGAGCGGAGACGCGAACCCGGCCCCCCAGATTACGAGACTACCGCTCTTAACCACTACAGAACAGAATACCATGCTGGTATTGGTGACAGTAGCCCTCCTCTAGAACAGCAGTGGGAACCTATGGCTCTCCAGATGTTGAACTCCCATCTCTCATCAGCCCCAGCAAGCATGGCCAGTGGTCAGGGATGACAGGGAGTTGTAGTCAAGCAGCTGAGCTATGGCAATACATACGATACCAAATTGACCACAAGGAGGGGATCCATACAAATAAGTAATATGGCACCATAGATATTTAGGGGTAGAGTGGATTCCTAGTCTTCATTATATTCCTGTTGTACATGTGGCAGTGCTAACAAGAAACAGAAACTCAGGGTGCTGAGAGACAGAAACTGGATGGCAGCCCAAACTTAAGGCTCTATCAGATCAGACCAAGTCCTATGCAGGGAGGACACATCTGAAATTACTGACTATAACTAACTTGGGTCCCTTAATCTCGGTACGTATACTTTGGGAATGACCAGCATTGGA